TTAAAAAGAAAAAGTTATTGTGCAACCGGCGCGCGGAAAGTCGCCTTTTGATGGGATTTTAGAAAGGGCTCTTTCCACGCACCAGTCACACAAAATATCGTAGCCAACATGTGCGGGTCGTAAATCGGCTGATCATGCGGATTGTCACACTGGGCTTCGCTTTGTGCGCCAAACTTCCGCACTCTCGGCCGATTTACGATCCTCCGCACTTGTTAGCTAATATACTTTTAATATATAAAATATATATTTAAAATTTTTCCTCCTTTTAGTGACACATATTCTTGATATGGGCAATATAAAAATCACTTTCTGTTACGTAAATTCTAATTGACTAATGGGTTTATTTATGCTTGCACATTCTATCAAAGATTTATTTCGCCGTAACTCAATAACACTCCTGAGGAGTTCTCATTTTACTTTATTTAATTTCTTTTTCATTTATCCAACTCACTCATATGCATTTATTATAACAATAATGTTTAGACATGCATAAATCGTCGACGTTGTATTTATCCACTTTTTACAATATGCTACATTAAATAATAATATATTTAGACTACCTATATTTAGACATTCGCCTCTGGTTTTGAAATGTTTATTCAAAATTCCAAATAAAATTTACCTAAATAGAATATAATATATATTTATATCATTAAATTTCGGGCGTTAACCTATCGTTAATTATAACATACAATATTCTAATTAAATATAAAATAATTTACATTTATAATATCCTATTTGGATATTCATCTTTCATTAAATTGGTTAACTATTAGAGTTTATCTATTATACATTATAGGATTTTACAATTAGCCTAATACCAAAAATTGGTTACCAGGTTACTTATATTGGCGCGGTAATAGGAACCATAATTGGCCTATCAATGGGAATATTATGGAATGATAACTTTGGTCCGATAAAGGATAATTATACGCGGCCAAACATGGTGAACAATGTTCAGCCATTAATGGTTAATTTATTATGCCCATATTCAATGCCAATAATGACTTTAATATAGTGCTGTACTTTCTTTATTTTTTAAAATATTTAATAATTGTTTATATAATTATATTGCAATTATACTAAAAATAACTTAGGAATGATATATTTTTTTTTTTTTTTTTTATAGTCAGGAAATTTGCCTAAACCAAACTTCGCCGTCCTGACCCCTGAGGGAGGGTCAGGAGGCTTTGTGGTGGATTCCCGCCCGTAGTATCCCGAGGGACTATCGGGCGGGGGACCGACCTAAAACCTGACTGAAGCCCCTGGTCGTATGGGTATTGTCCACCGCGGAACCGCGTAAGCATTACTTCACGGTGGACACCCGACCGGCGTCCTTAAGGTAGGACACATCCCCCGAGAGGATACTACAGGTATCCCCCGGAGAGGACATTCCCTTGCCCCGAAAGGGCATCGGAGGGAGCCGGGCTACTAGCTCCCCCCGGACTTCCCTGGGTCGACGTGCAATGGGATCAGGGCCCCCACCCTTCTCCCTGCCGAACCCGGTTAGTGAGACGGCCGCAGCCACCCACCCCACATTTAAGACGTCACAGGACGTCACCAACTACGTGGACAGACATATACACAATCCACGACAGAGACCAAATAAGGGCCACAGGCCCAGCCCTCTAAGGGCCAACAGTGAGGCACAATGGCCGACCACAATAAAGGTGGGAGGGTTGTTACTCCCACCTATAAACGAAAGACAACAAAATTAAACAAAAACAACATGAACTTGGCGCGGGTGAAGAGGCCGCGGAGTCACCTTTCGGCAGCCTCCCCGGCACTCAAACACCCATCGCCGCTACCTACTAAAACATAGACTTGGCGGAGCAGGGACACCACGGAGTCACCTTTCGGCAACCTCCCCGTAATCCCCGCATCCACCGCTACGCACTACGACTATAGGACAGAACGACACTAGACATTGGAAGCAGAGCTGCAGCCCGGCACAGGGGAGCCACCTCTCCGTGACCTCCCCCGCCCCCGGCTACAGTCCACCTCCATCCACTCGGGGCTATCGGGTGTCCCCCCAACAGGGGGCCCCGGAGCCTGCACGCGCTCCACAACAGGAGCGCCCACCGGGGCAGCCCCGATCTCCAAGAGCCGTCCCCCAACAGGACGACCCAGAGCCTGGCGCCCACCATCCGCCCCGAAAACTGAGGGCCTCAGGCACCCCTGAGCCCCCAAGGAGTGGGCTGCCGACACCCCCCTGTCCGAACAAATCGGACAGCGGGGAGTGGCGCCACAAACCGCCGCGCGATGTCCCGACACGCCGCAACGATAGCAGCGGTCGGAACGATCGACACCTCCCGAGCATCGATTGCGAGTATGCCCCACCTCAAGGCAGCGGAAGCACCGAAGGGGACGGGCGCTAAGCAGCTCCACCCCCAACATCCCCCAGCCTACCCTGATTCTGCCCTCGGATACGGCCCTACGCGCCGTTGCCACCGGGCAACGCACCCACACTGTGCTCCAGGGAGAGCCCTGAGGAGTTCGAATCTCTCCTATTCGAACATCCCCGACCGAGCATCCCCCCAGAGACACCAGGGCACCGCGGATGTCATCCCGGGAGGCGATTCCCTCCCCCATAGTCCCACGGATCCGGAGATCCATGGTTTTCTGGGGGCGGGAGACCACCACATCCCCGCGATCCGCGAAGACGTCGCGAATGCGACCCGCCAGGAGGTCCGCCTTCTCGCCGGTGTTTCCACCAGGGACCTGCAAAAGCAGGCCCCCAGTGGCGGCGAACCGCATGTTCAGCGGAGGAATGCCAAGTTCCTCCAGGCTGATGCGCTCCCCGGCCTCCCGCAGGATCTCCGCATATGACCTCTTGTCACCGACAGAGGTCACATGCACCGCCGCAGATTCAGGCTGCCGAAGCCGTCTCGGAACCCTTCTCTTCCGCGTAACCGGTCCCGGCTGCGGAACCTCAGCTAAACCCCCCGAGGCCCAAGGCCCCCAGCCCCCCCAGCAGCCGAATTGGCCACGGACGGGGACGGAGACCCAACCCCCGAGAAGGAGACCGCCCTCCTTACACCCCGACCCCGTCTCCCACGCACAAGCGTCGAGAGGACGGGGGAAACCCTCTTGACCGGGGGAGCAGAGGCAGACGACCCTACCCCCTCCCCCCGGGAAACCAAGGAGGACCTGAGGGACTCCACAGTCCTCCTCAGGCCCTCAACCGCCTCGGTGATGCGACTCCCAACGAGGAGATCCACCCGCGCTAAAAGCTGCTGGTGTGGATCCCCCCCGAAGCCGCATCAGAGGACTCAAACAGAGTCCTCCGCGTCTCAGAGATGGTCTCCTTGCCAGAAGGCTCCAGCTCAGAGACCACCTCTCTGCCCCGTCTCCGCCGCGATCTCTTCTTCGCGGGAGGCGCCTCTTTCTCCCCAGAAGAGGGAGGAAGGGGAGCCAACATACTGCGAACAACCTCCAACTCCTTGCGGAGTTTTTGGTTGCTCGCCTCCAGCTCACCAACACGTCCCTTGAGCCTCTCGATCTCCTCCACGTGAGCCCGGCAGTTATCCGACAGGACTTGCTCCCTGTCAAGGACTTCCACCGGGCCATGAAGAATACTGGGCTCCAACGCATCAAGCGCGCCACCAAGCCCCCCAGGGGAGGCAGAGGCAGCGCCCAATGCGCCGTCACCCAGTCCACTTACCTCAGGAGGCACATCCCGCGGTGAGTCCCCACGGGTCACCTCCGTCTCCTTATCCCGGAGATCAGGCTCCTCCTCTATAATTTTTAAGGCACACTTCTTCGAATAACTTCGAAGGTGTGCCTTCAGGTGCCCGTATACTCCTAGCCAACGGAAGGCACGAACGCTCTCGTCCTGGAGGGCGTGCCGGATTTCGGTCACGAGATCGCTCGGATCGTCATCCTCACCCAGCTCCTCCCAGGCAATATCCAACTGGATGAGTTGGTCCTCCACCTCATCCTCTGTCCTGCTCCTCGGCACTGTCGCTCTCTCATCCGCGGACCCAGCCGGCAAATCCGCGGACGACCTGTCGTATGTTGACGACGAGGAGGGAGCCAGGCCTGCACCCCCCCCCCGCCGGTTCCTAGTTACCGACCCTAGGACAGTCTCTTCTTTTTTAGAACCGCTCATCATATCTGAAAAAAGAAATTGGTTTTTTTCTGTCGGGGGTTTTCCTTCCCCTTAGGAGGTTGCCTTACTCAGCTAACGGGGCCTCCCCCCGGGTGTTATCTTCGGTGTTTTCCTTCACCTAGTGCAGTGGACAAGTCCTTTTTAGGGCCTGCACGCCCATCGCACCTCGTTCATCCATCACCACACACTCCAGCTCGGGTACCTCGGGATTGCGACACCCGTACACTACAGGGATGAGTCTGTAGTGCCCCTGAGGGAAGGAATGATATATTTAATTCGACCCAAACTAGCCAAGAAATTTTTATTTTATTTTCACAACGTTTCGACCATCTGTTTTTGGTCCTTTTTAAGTGAAAAACTAGAATGGTACAATTAATTAAAATTAATAAACATTTTTTATGTTAAACGCAAGAATTAAAATTTTTTACATACTTCCTTGATAAAAGCGCAGTTAGTTGACACTGTTGTCATGATTATTATAATAAACAATATGATTATCGGAATTTTTTAAAAACATTTTTAATAACTTTTGAAAGAAAGTAACCGCATCTTATCGTCATGATGGATCGTCAAAAAACTGAGTATATAAAATTTTTATACGACTTTTTGCAACGTCTTTTCCTACTCCGAAACGCCAAGTTCGGACAGGGGAGCGTTCAATTTAAATATTCTACAAGTTCAAACCCTAAAACGGTAAAAATCGGTAACAAAAGAGTTAATTACTTGTACTTAGGTACTTTCGGTAACTCGCGGTAAAGTTGGGCGCCAGGCGCATGTGAATGCGCCACGATACTAATGAGAACGGTACTTAAGGTAACTTCTCAAAATTTTATAGTGAGTCGCGGGTCTATAGAATTTTTGGGTCTATGGTTGAGAGAGAGGTAGTAAGAGAGACATGCACGTGGTGATATAAATTGACATAGATATATTTGACACTTAGGAATGACAATTGTACATGTAATAAATATGGATTGACAGTGACACAAGAATTCGTGAAATTTATGGCTCATTTTATCAAGCACGCCAACGCATCCAAAGAGTTGCCGATTCTATTATTACTTGATAACCACACTTTCCATCTCAGCGTGGAGGCCATGGATATAGCAGTTGATAATGGCATCACGATGCTTTCTTTCTCTTCCCATTGCTCGCATCGTATGCAACCCTTTAGATGTTAGCGTATTCGGTCCATTCAAAAAGATGTTCTACACCCAGTGCCAAGCTTGGATGAAAAATCACATCGGCAGAGATTTGGAATTACATCACATAGCGCCTATCGCTGATAAATGTCTCGATGCGTGTACCACGCCTAAGAATATCAAATCTGGGTTTAGAGCAACGGGTATTTATCCATTCGATCCGAATATATTCACGGCTGAAGATTTCTTAGCAACTGATTTAAGCGGGGAAACTCAATGCACTGATGACGACAATGACGATCCTGCTAATTGTTGTGTTTTAATAGTTAGTCCAGATGGCATCGAAACCGTCGCACATAAAGAGACCACTTCTGAAGTCACCACTTCTAAAACGGCCAGCACATCATTGGCGCCGGGCACATCGGCTGCAGTTCTTCGCAGTGCATTGCAAGATGTTGGACCTCTCAAACACGATACACCGGCCAAAAAATCCAAGCGAGGCCGCAAGTCAATGGAAACTACCATTTTGACTTTGCCTCAAAATGTGGCCAACTTACACAAGAAAGCTGAGGACATTAACCTTGTATATCGTAAAAACCATTTATTTCAATTTGTTTTTCGCGCGCGAATTTGGGACCGCGCCTTATCGCGCGTAGTAATATTCGGCAGAGAGCGTGCCTAGGAGCCCCCCCACTCGGGCGAGCGGGCGAGAGCTAACTCGATCGCGGAGAGAAGCGGACGCACGCGTGAGGCGACACGTTTTCGCGAGAACAAAGGCGTCTAGTATTTTTACCTGCGATAACGCTTTCAGTTATACCCTTAAGTGCAACGAAACTAGCTTGTATTTTGACCGAAGCAAATAAATATTGTGATAGAAGAAGAGTTAAAAATCTTTTCGACCACATCGTCGCTGACTCCTTCCAGAGACACGTGTGGCGGGCACATGCCCTCAGCGTAATCATTACGCAACATCTTGTTTAGAATAATAAAGTCGTCAAAACGAGGAGTAAAATATAATATGTACAATATAACGAAAATTTGAATAATATAATGTAAAATATAATCGAGAAAATAAATATATCCTACAATAGTTATAAATGCTTTATTGACATTGCAAATTTCTTATTTATGTAGCAACATATGTGCATTCTAATCTATTTATTAATGTATTAAATCTTTATCATAATTTATTTCTTTCCTTATTTTAGATGATAAAGCACTGTGTTGCCAGTGGCTGTAATGTAAAGCAGAATCTTATGTTGTTTCAATTTCAGAAAGAACCAGATAGGTGTGCAAAATGGATTTCATTTGTAAATCGATTAAATTGGCAACCTTCTACAAGTAGCACATTATGCGAAGTATGGTATGTATATTTTGTGATATCAATAATTTTACTGATAAATAATTAAAAATATTATACTAATTTCATATTAATAAATTTTTAACTAATATCGATTTTTTTAATGCGTAGCTTTACTTTGACAAGGATCAATGGAAACGGCAAAGAGTTGATGGTTCAAAAAAGTTGAAATGCTCAGCTATTTTATCACTACAATGTTCCACAGAAAATTCAAAAACAACAAAAAACAGCAAAAATAATGGAAATACCAGAAACAATGGAAACACCGGAAATAAGGGAAACAATGGAAATAAGGGAAACATCAGAAACAACAAAAGCAGTAGAAACAGTGGAAATATCGAAAGCGATAGAAACACTGAAAACAAATACAAAAATACAGTCGTCAGATATACAAATTGTAGATAGTATGGAAGATGAATCCATTAATGCTTTGAAACGACAATTACTTTTGAAAAATAAAGAATTAGCCGCACTCCAGTTGAAATACTATACTTTACAGAAAAAGACAAATTTGATTTTTAAAAGTTACTACAGTGTAAAGAAGCGAAATAAATTATTGGCAAATAAGCTAAAAAGATTACAAAATCATCGCAAGCAGAAATTTAGTACCCAGTTGCATGACGACAAATAGGTTTAGATTAAAAATGGCAAAAGGAAGAAAATGAAGTAATGAAACGATTATCAATGAATTAATATATAAGATGAAATAGGGCACACAGGGCTATTCAGATTTTGTCAAAAGGTTTCCAATTTTCCCTTCAGTTTGAACACTTCAGAAAGCGTTGTATTTCATTCACCTTAGACAATGGAAGAGTGGAAATCTAAATTGGAGCTCTCTGAAAAATATCAATATTAAGTTACAGTTTTAAGTACAATAAGTATTTGTCATTTATTTTCGAATAAAGTTGAATTTACTTAAACATGTTCAGAGATGAATCGGTAAGATGATTTGATAGTCAAACAACTTGCTCTTTTTCCTGCACAGTGGAAAATTATAAAATAACATTAAAAGTGTAGACATAACTTAAAACAAACATCAAAAATGTAGACATAACTTAAAACAAACATCAAAAATGTAGACATAACTTAAAACAAACATCAAATATTTCAATTCCAAGAGTTCGAAAGAATGCATAATTTAAAGTTTTTATATAAAGTGATGTAAAATCGGTACAGATATATGAAAAATATATATAATTGCTTTTAGTACACAGTCTAATTGATTTGACAATCATGCTGCACTCTGTTTATGTTCATGTGATTTACATGGACTAATAACGACAATAAAACACTGTCATTATCATTCTGGCTGCATTCGGAAATATCCTCGAAGTACATTCCCTCTCTTCCTTCGGCTCGTATTCATAGTCCGATCTTATATTTAAGATTGTCTTAAGTCTGGTCAGAAATTGACTTAAAATCCCGTTCAACTAATCAAATGGCTGCGTGGCGTTAAGAGCTTGGACGTAAGACGATCTTAAATATAGGATTGAATTATGAATATGGGCCATTATCACTGACATAAGAGTGATATGGCAAGAGAGAGATAGCGCTCGGCGACGTGCGTGTGGATCTAAGATGGTCGCATGGTGGGGGTAGTTGGCGTCTCTTAGTGGTCAAAAATTAATAACCCGGATTTATTTTAATTTTATTTTAGCACTTACTTAATTGTTTTTCACATACAAAAACGCTTTTCAATTATTAAAATACAGGTGTAACGTTAGTTTTCCTTAGGTTCACTCCCACTCTGTCACCGTAGCAGTCGTCTTACGAACGGATAGCTCATTACGGATAAGAAGGTACGAGTTGACGCCTCCCTGTTACATCTGTATTCTAATCATTGGAAAGCATTGTTTATATGTGACAAATAATTAAGTGTGCGCTAAACTAAAACTAAAATAAATCCGTGTTATTAATTTTTGGTCACGGTAAGAAAAATATTTTTTTTATCTTCACAAGGATGAAAATCTTTGAAAAAATCTTTGAAAAAGTTATAGACAACCAATCTGGGCAAAAATATATTAATTTATTAGATCTTCCTCATTACATTTTGACCTTTGGTTCAGGTCCTTATTAAATGAACACAGTAATAAAATAATTTCACAATTAAAATGATACAATAAGCAATAATAAAAACAAATTAATAAAAAATCCACAAAATTATTGTAAATTACTAAACATAAAAGCGAAAAATGTAATACTAGACACAAAAATAAATAAAAATAATTTAAAAATAATTTACAATAAAAATAAAAATACAATTAATTTACAAATAAAATAAATTAAAAATAAAATACAATAAAAATAAAAATAAATTTAATTTACAATAGTTATTAAATTATAGAAACAATTAACTCAAGACCACAGACAGACACACAGAAAAATGTGTAAAAATATATATAAGCGAAAACTGACAACGTTAAATGTTAAAATGCAAGATTTTTTGATGTTATTATAATAAAATATGTATGATAGTCATCACTATAAAATTGAATATGTGTGAAAACACGTGTGTCTACTAAGACGTTTAGCTAACAACTGTATGTACATGTCGTGTAAACATTTAAACTGTATTGATAACATTATAAATAATAATAATACATGAATTTTAAATCGGCCAATAGAGCCCAAGCGCGAAAAATTAATTCTTCGGAACTGTATCTCTTGATTTGAGATTACTAAGTTCCATATATAAATTAATCTCGAACTTACATATGGAGAAAAATAGGCGAGAAAAATATAGGTCCGAAAAGTCGCTGAAGCGGGAATCGAACCCGCGTCTTTCACTTGCCGGGCGACTGCTCTTACCAACTAAGCTATTCAGACTCTTTTGATTTAAAATTCATGTATTATTATTATTAATAATATTGAGAGCCGACATATATTTCTTATTATAAATAATATTCAAATTTTCATCTGAATTTAATGTATTATTACACATTTTTATATAAAACATCTCAGCTATTTCTCTTTTTTAGTATTTTTCTCATAATGTAAAATAATCGGATTATCCTAGTCAAAATCGTGTCCAAATTCAACTCTATGTTTGTTCACTACAAAGTAGTAGTTTACTCACTATTTTCATGTAATTTAATATTATTTTTATGTTTCCTAGTGCGGGTTTTCAGGTGTCTTTTTGTTTGTCCGATGTAGGAAAAAGTACAATGTAGGAAACATACAATTTTGTATATCATTTCAGTTCTATTCAATTTTAAAATCTTATCTTTACCGCGATTGATAATCTTATTTAATTTTTTCGGGATCGAATATACTACATTTAAACCAAAACAAAGACGTAATTCTTTCCAATCGCTAGTCAATAAATAGGTAAATCAAATAATCGACCAAACTAGCAAAAATCAGTTTATTTAAATTAAGAGTTTAACAAGACTCTGTAATATAAATATAAATTAACGTATAAGACAGGCAATAAGAGCCTAATCGCGGATGACAGTGCGTTATCCTAATGAAACTAAATTTTTTCGTTAGAATTCAATCTCTTGTAGACATTATTCCAATTTTAAATCTTGGCCGTGTCCAAGTAAAATTTGGTGCCTTGTGCACAGGTATTTAATTCTAACGAAAAATTTATTTTGTTAGGATAACGCACTGTCATCCGCGATTTGGCTCTTATTGCCTGTCTTATACGTTAATTCAGTTTATTTAATTTCACGAGTTTCGACCATATGATTGTGGTCCTTATCAAGTGAACAATAACACTACAAAAATAATTTAAAAATAATATTAAAAATACAAAGCTAAAATAAAATAAAAATATGTAATAACTACTCAAAAAACCTCATATAATAATGTACAACTGCAAACCGATATTCTAGTATAGTACTTAGAGTATAAGAGATTTTAGTCACTAAAGCTGACAAGGGGCAAACAACGGTGATATTACACAGAAACAATTATGTACAAAAAATGGAAGCGTTACTTGACGATTCTCACACTTATAAAAAACTCAAGAAAGATCCTATTAACTTTACAACTAACAAATTAAATTCTCTTGTTAAGTCTTGGCGTTCGAACGACCTTATTGACGATAGAACCTATAAATTTTTTAATTGTACAAACAGTAATACACCAAGTTGTTATGGACTTCCAATGATTTATAAGAATGGATATCCTTTACGTATCATTGTCTCGACACTTGATAGCCCGGGATATAATATTGCGAATTATATTCACAACGTTATACAATGTTCGATTAAAAAATCGAACTCGTACATCAGTGACGGATGGTCGTTCTCCAGGAATATTAGAGGTAGAATTATCAAAGATAATGAAATAATGATATTGTTGGATGTCACTATATTATTCACGAATATTCCTAAGTAGCTAGTTTTAAAGGGAATCAAAAAACGCTGGAACAATATTTCGGCAAAAACAACTTTTAATCTGGCAAAATTTTTACATGCTGTGGAAACCATTCTTGAATCAATCAGTTTTTGTTTTGAGGGTACAATTTTACAAACAGATCTGTGGAAGTCCGATGGGTTGGTTCTCCATTATCCCCTATCTGATATTTAATGAAACATCAATGTTTTTGGTATGCAACGTCTTTTCTTGCTCCGAAACGCCAAGTTGGACAGGGGAGCGTTTAATTTTAATATTTTTTTAGTTTGAGCTCTAATACGGTAAAATTCGGTAACGAACGAGT